AGGGATCTAGGCTATCAAGCCATTGCTTACTGACCAAAAAGTTGGGAAAAATTTTCAAGTAACTGACCAAAAGAAATTGTTGTCGCCGTGATATTTTTTTCTTTCTTTTTGAAAGGTGTATAATCTGTTTATTTCGTATTAAACTTTTTTTGCGGAATGCTACCTCTAATTTAGTGACGTCAAAGGTTTCATCGTACAAGTGGGACCGTCTCTTGGGGTAATGAATTCACTCATAGCATCAAGTGGAATGAATTGAGCATGTTTTTGGCAATCATTTTGATATTATAACTTGCCAAGTTTTTGTCGATTCGTCAGTGAACTACACTCACTGAAGTACTATTGACAGTGCATAAACGTTTGCAGCCGTGTCAGGGCAGCCGTGATATGTACCTCATCAGCAGCAAGTGCGCTGGATAGAGCAATCCAAGAGGATCATTTTTATACCATAACTTGCCCCTTTTTCACTTTTTTTCGCTTAGCTGGACTTGCTGACTTTACATCAATTCGTTCACATTTTAGTACGAAAAGCAGCAAGTCTAGGTAATTTTTTGGAACGACCAGTTGCAACTGGTAGATTTAGTCAGGAAGTCTAACTCAGCGAAAAATAGTCAAAAGTGGGCAAGTAAGGGTATCAAAATGATCCTCTAGGATTGTTCTACACAGCGCACTTGCTGCTGGGTATGTATATGTCATGGCTACGGCGCTAGACTTGCTGCTTTTCGTACTAAAATGTGAACGAATTGATGTAAAGTCAGCAAGTCTAACTCAGCGAAAAATAGATGAAATCATTCAAATAAGGGTATCAAAATGATCCTCTTGGATTGCTCTATCCAGCGCACTTGCTGCTGCTAGAATATTTTCAACATCCAGAGTGCTGCTCGCGGAGCCAAAGTTGGAAAATCAACTTTTCCAGTGTTTTCAGAAACATCCAGAATTGTGCGCGCTAAGGATTTTTTGGGTCGATGAACACGTTCCCAAAAAAGCAAGTGAAATTAATCAGTATTCAT